TCATTATGGGAGCCTCGCCGGCCATATCGTGTAGGACGTGTGCGTGAAGCCCGTGTGGCGAACATCAGGATCTCGAGGGAGGCCACTAGGTCGGAAACGATGTCCCTCGAAACCGCCCTGTGACCGTCGTTTTGGGTGTAGACGCATGGCTTCTGAGAGACTTCTGGGGGCCTCTTGGGAAGCCTCAGGAGACTAGCGGTAGCTGTTTTAGCACCTCTGTTGTCTCGAGAGCGGACTCGAGGTCCGATTCAACAACATCCAGGAGAAAAAACACACAAAAAAAAAAAAAAAAACTGGAAAGAGCATGCAGGATGTACACGCGTGGCCTCTTAGAAATTGTTTTGGGTCTTATGGGGTGCCTCTCCGGAACCTTTTGGAAGCATTTCGGGGTCTCTTGGAGGCCGGCTTGGGGCCTCTTCTTGGTTTCTTGAGAGCCCCAGGAGGCCTCTGAGACTTCTGGGGGGACAGCTCGCGGTCTTCTTGGGGCGGGGGCTCGACATTTGAATCCGAGCTTCTCGTCAAGGGTCCTCTAGTGGCCTCGTTGGCCATCTGGGGCGCCTCTTGGGCCGTCTTGGTTAATCCCACCAGCCCTTCGGGCGTGAGTGGTTTAGAGAGCTCTCTCTGTCCTCAACCCCCCTTTTTCCCCTTCGGGGAGGGGTTTACCCCTCCCCCTACCCCCTCCCCCTGGGCCTGGAGAGGGAGTCCCGAGCGGTCTCAAGGGGGTAAATTTCGACTCCTGGGAGGGCTAAAAAAACGACGACCCTCACGAGGATTCTGGCCCCGACGGGGGGGCAGAGTTTGGCCCCTCTGCTCGTCTTTGAAGCAGAAATCATTGATTTTACTACGGTTTGGGCCCCATTTTTGGCCTTCTCAGGGGGCCGCGCTCCTCTTCCTTAGTAGCAAAATCGTTGATGTTACGAAGGTTTTGGGTTCATTTTGTCCTTCTCAGGGGGCAGCGCTCCTTTGCGCTTCTGAGGAGGTCGCAAGAGGCCCCAAGATGGCCCCAAGAGGCCCCCAGGAGGCTCCCAAGAGGCCTCCAAGAGGCCCCCAAGAGGCCCCCAAGAGGCCCCAAGATGGGCCCAAGAGGCCCCCAAGGGCCCCCAAGAGGCCCCCAGAGGCCCCAAGAGGCCCCCAAGAGGCCCCCAAGAGGCCCCCAAGAGGCCCCAAGAGGCTCCAAGAGGCCCCCAAGAGGCCCCACGAGGAGCCCGAACGACTCACACCAGGACGAGGGGCCCGAACGACTCACACCACGAAGAGCCCGAACGACTCACACCACAAGGAGGGGCCCGAACGACTCACACCAGGACGAGGCGCCCGAACGACTCACACCACGAGGAGCCCGAACGACTCACACCACGACGCGGGCCCCGAACGACTCACACCACGAGGAGCCCGAACGAGTCACACCAGGAGGAGGGGCCCGAACGACTCACACCAGGATGAGGGGCCCGAACAACTCACACCACGAGAAGCCCGAACGACTCACACCAGGACGAAGAGCCCGAACGACTCACACCACGAAGAGCCCGAACGACTCACACCAGGAAGAAGGGCCCGAACGACTCACACCAGGACGAGAACCCCAAACGACTCAAATCACGAGGAGCGCTTTCTCTCCCTCCTCCTCCGCCTCGTTCTTCTCCCGCTCCCCCCACAAGGAGGATGTACAAGGAGGCGGGAGGAAGGAGGAACATGGGAGATATGCGGGGCCAAGCGGACACACGCCTGAAAAACACGACTGTCATGCTTCGCAAGAGTTGCTGCTGTGAGATGGGCTGGTGGGGATACGCGAAGCGTAAAGAATTTTCTTGGGCCGTCTTGGAGCCGCTTTGAAGGTTCGTGGGCCGTCTTGAGGCAATCTTGGGACCCCCCTAGGCCGTGCTGATTGCTGTTCAGATGGGCATAAGTGAATATGCTAAAACTGAGGGGTTCTTTCTACGGGAGCGGATGAGTTTGAAACCATCCTGGACGGTCGTCGAGCGCTCTTGGGTCGTCTTTGAGGCCTCTTGGGCCGTCTGGAGGCTATCGTGTGTGCTTTTGGAGCGCTCTCGGGGGTGAAAGAGCCCCCAACAGACCGAAAGCCAGCCCTAGGCTCCCAGGATACATTTCATACCCCGAGCGAGCGAGCGAGTGGCGCAGCAGCAGTCGAGTCGATAGCTGCGGCCAGCGAAGGGGGGACAGCAGAGCGATGGGAGAAGACTCCGATCCCTCCGCCAGAATAGAGCTGCCTGGCTGGCGGCTCCACGGCGTGGCGTCTGCGACTCCCGAAAAGACGGGTACATCGCGGAGCACCCTGCACCACTTCATACCCCGAGGGGGTGGGGGGTGGGGAGTATTTTTCATTATGTGCCAGTGGAGGCAGGTGGGCCCAACACTCCTACATCGTACATCCAAGGGAAAGGTGAGATCTGCAGAATTTGAATGGCGCTCACGAAACTGTTTTCCAACTGAAAATGAAACATCTTGCCCCATTATTTGTTTCATCGAGCGGAAATCCGCCACTCTCTTCAAGTATGGCCGAAGGGCCACGATTTTCACGATACAAGAGAACCCTGGACCCAAGCCCTCTTCAAGAACAATTCTCACTGAGTCCGTCGAACAGAAGAGGAACATCAGCAGGAGCACGCGGGAGGGATGAGGATGCGGGGGAGGAGGACGAGGAGAGAGACGAGGAGGAAGAGGAGGAGGAGGAGGAGGAAGAGGAGAAGGAGGAGGGGTCCGGGTATCCCCTCCTGGTCAACCGTCTCCCTCCTCCCTCAGCCCCCCTCCCTCCCTGGGAAGTCGGCCTTCTGCATCCCGCCCCTTCCTCCTCCACTCTCCCCCTCTCCCCTCCTCCGCCTTCCCCTGGTCCGACAGCTCCTCCCGCTCCTCGTGCTCCTGCTCCTGCTGCTGATGTTCCTCAATCTCCTCGTAGTCCTCATCCTCCTCTTCCTCCTGCTCATCCTCCTGCTCATCCGCCACCTCCTCCTGCTCTGCCTTCTCATCCAATGCACACAGCTCCATTTTCTGCTTGCGCATAAGACGCATAATGCGATTGGGTCCTCTGGGGGGTTCCAGGTCCGCTATGACACCCGTCGGCGGATTTCGAACAAAGTCAGCGCACTGGGGAGGGATGGATGGGAGGGGTAGGATGTCAGATCAGTGGCCCGAGTGCAACTGGGACCCAGACTGTCCCCCTCCACTCTCGTCGCCCTTCCTTTCCCCTCTCCTCTCCGTCCGCCCTGCCTCCCTGTCTGCCGAGAGCTCAACGTTGTGATTGTGTCACGTGGACCCTCAGACATCAGTACCGTCTCACTGGGATTCTGTTGCTCCCATCGTACTTAAGTAGGCTAAAGTAGGGTTGACCAAGGCTTGAATGATCACGGCTAAAGTAAGCTGGAACATCATAACCCTGGGGCCTGTTCTTTAATCCCAGGCCGTCTTTGGACGGCCCTGGGGACGGCCAAAGAGCCCCTCCGCCGTCCCCCTCACCTCAACGGGCAAAGCGGGATCAATCAACATGGAATTGGGAAACCGAGTCGGGCCTGATTGTGTCGGATCGGGCCGAACTGGCACGGAGCAGAAATCGAATCGGATCGGACGCCTCAAAATGCAATGATCGGGCCTTATCGGAGCGTCGGGAAATCGGAATCCGCTTGGGCCCCACCGCCAGCCCAAACGGCGAGCATAAATCGGGCGTAGCCCCGCACGCATTCGAATGCCCACACTTCGTCCTCGTACTACTCGTATTAGTACCCGTCCTCCTCCCTATCCTGATCGTCGTCGTGCTCCTCCTCCTCGTCCTCCTCCTCATCCTCCTCGTCTTCCTCGTCTTCCTTCTGCTCCAGCTCGGTTTCCTATCGGTCGCGCCATAGGTTGCGCCCACGGCGGCTGAGCATAAAGCAATCCCCTATCGGTTGCGCCATAGGAAGCGCCCTCGGCGGCCGAGAATAAAAACCGTCTCCTACTGGTTGCGCCATAGGTTGCGCCCTTGAAGGCCGAGAATAAAAAACGTCGCGTAACGGGTGCGACCAGTCTGCTCAACTCAGTTCAGTTCAAGTCAAATCAGGTCAGTTCAGCCAGTTTGCCTCGCGAGAAACAAATTTTGGACGCCCGAGTCATCCGGGGTAAATCGGGTCCGGAGTAACTCGGGTTTGAGTTCCCGAAAAACGAACCCGAGTTAACCCTGACCCGAGTTACCCCTGATGATTCGGGGCTCTGAAAATTCGGGCTACGTCCGAAATCAAACCAAATCAAACCCACCAACATCCGCATCGGATCCCATCGATCGCTTGGCACGCTGGAAACGGGTACGCATACGATGCCTGTACGGGAAACGTGGGCACGTTGTACGGCAAAGGCTGTCCAAGACCCACAGCGGACGCTGCTGGGCGGGCGACCGCTGTATGAAAAGGCCAATGTCCGCAGCGACACCGACAGCGAGCCACCCTCTAAATGGACAGGAGCTGGTGTCAATAACCCCAGGAAGCATTTAAGAACCCCCCCCCCTCCGGCAAATCGATAACCCTTCCGCACCATCATCCATATCCGCATCATCACCATCATCATCATCATCATCATCATCATCATCATCATCATCATCATCATCATCATCATCATCATCATCATCATCATCATCGTGTCTGGGTGCTACAGCTATCGTTCGGTTATTTCGGCCCTTCGGAATATCGAATAAAAAATGCGGTGCTACGATATCGCCGGGGGGGTTCTTAAGTGCTTCCTGGGGTTATTCGTCCCCATTCTTTCCGTACCCGCGTCGGTCCTCCAAAGATCTGGATGACTGCTGGAGGCAACCAGGGGGTCTGCGCCGGGTGGGCCCGGGGATCATCGGTCAAGTGGGGAGGACGAGGACAAATCCTCTCACAATCGATCCCCAGACTCCTCCGGGGCCGAAACTTACCAGCTGTCCGAGCCGCATCCAGCTGGCGACGAAGGATCCCCTTTCTCTTCCCTGCGTGCTGGGCCACCTCAAGCCCCACAACAGACTCCAAGACGGCGGCCTTCTGCATGATGGCGCCCGGCGTATTCACCGCCCCGCGCACGATCTGCGTGGTGCCCACCACCGCCCCGGCCACGGTCGAGCTGGCGCCGACGCGCGCGCCAGGGGCCGCCCGATCGTCGATGTCGTCGTCGTCGTCGTCGTCGTCGTCGTCGTCGTCGTCGTCGTCGTCGTCGTCCTGTCGTCGTCGTCGTCGTCGTCCTGTCGTCGTCGTCGTCGTCAAAGTCGTTTTCGGCGGCGGCGACGGTGGCGTCGTCGTCGTCGGCGTCGGCGTCGTCGTCGTCGTCATCCTGTCGTCGTCATCCTGTCGTCGTGGTCGCCCTGTCGTCGTCGTCGTCCTCCTCTTCCTCCTCCTCCTCTTCTTCCTGCTCGCCATCGTCTCCCTCCTCCATGTCCTCCTCCTCCTCCTCCTCCTCCTCATCACCCCCCCTCCTTCCTGAGGGTGCGGGTAACCATTGCCACTTACCCAAGCTATCACTAGTCGCGGAATTCGCAGTCGGGGCCCGAGCTTTCCATTCTCAGGGATACTGGTGCTCCTTCCAGCCGCTTGTGCCAGCCTGAGCGTGTAGGCCCAGGAGTGTGACAAGCGCTATCACGAGCGTGTTGCGCATATGAAATTGTCGTGCTTGCCACGCCGCGACTGCACAGGTGCTCCAGACAGCTGCGTGCGTACGAAAGGACGGCGACCAAGGGACTGGCGACCAACGCACAGGAGACCAGGTCTCATCGGCGGCGAAGGCGGCCGTAGCCAGCTCCAGCAAGGAAAAGAAGGGCACCAAGGAGTTCTCTCAGTGCGCACGTATGCCACATGCGACTCGCAGCACACGATGGAGGAGCTCAACCAGTGGCAGGCCATGCTCAAGAAGATCCACGATCTCCGAGGCGTGGAGCATCAAGACCAACGCCCGACAGCACGCCAAGAACATGCCAAAGAACGTGGACGGGCCCGCGACGGGTCTCGGGTGGTACCTCGGCCGCTGGGGTTTTCGAGATAACAGGTACGTCAGGTGAAAGGGGACATCCAGAGCATCAACGACTCCCTGCCCGCCAGCCACGCCACTCTTCACGACCTGGCCACCATCGACGTGCTCTCCCTTGGCGTGCAGGATGGCTATGGCATCATGAAAGAGGTCATCGACAACGGCGGCCTGGCCTGCAAGGGCAACTTGAAGACGGGATTCGACCTGACCACGGAGACGGGGCACTAACGGTCGCTCCAGAAGATGCGGGAGCTGAATCCTTGACATGTGTTCCTGGCTCTCCGTACGACGACACCTGCCACTCCCGCCCTGCCCAGCCGCAACAAGCTCATAGTGTCCAACCTGGCTCGGCTTGAAGAAGCAACGGCCGGTCTGCAGTTGGGCGTGACAGCTCTGATTCCGAAGCGATCGCGGCTCTACAGCGAGGCTCCAATTCGCCGTCTGCGAGAGCTGTGGCACACGAGGTCAGCCGATCGTAGCGACCGACACTTACTCACCAACTCTCAACCAGTGGTTGACCAGACGGCTCGCTCCGACCTCCGAGGCGTGGGGAAGTTTCTGGTCCAAGGTGTTAACAGCTACTGGGGGGCCGTGCTCCACGACCTGGCCCATGGGCCAGGCACGCGGCGAGAAGCCCATGCTCTTCACAGCGGAGCCCCCTGAGCTACCCGAGGTGAACAAGCAGCATGCGACGAGGGCACTACAGAAGCTCCACAACCAGCTGGGGCATCCTGCAGTGGGAGACCTGCAGGGTCTCCTACGCCAGCGGGGTCACCTTGGTGGGTACTGCGGCTCGCTGGCGAGCTCAGATGCAGCGCGTGCGACCGCTACCAGAAACGACAGGCCAGGCCGATCACCCCAGGTAATTCTCGGAGCTCGTGGCCGTGACTCAGATCGACGGTTTTGACTGGGTCCACCCCGCGACAAGAGACCGAGCGCGGGGCCCCCTCATCGTAGACGAGTGCAGTGGCAAGGCCCTCGTCAAGATACAAAGCGCGATCCCCTATGGCTGCAGCGGGGGGAACACCACCGCCGAAGAGACGTGGGACTTCATGCCGAAAAACCGGCGCCGACACTTCGGCAACCCGACCCAGCTCCGCTCGGACCCCGAAGGCAACTACAGATCCCACGATCTCCAGGATCGCGCTGCCAACGTGAGCATCACCTGGGATCCCAAGCCAACCGAGGCTCACTGGAAGACGGGGCGCGTCGAAGCTACCATCGGCATCATCAAGGAAGCGGCTGCGCGGATGGCCTATGTGGACCCGACCTGTCCAGCCAAGGAGATCTTCACCTGGTCTACGGCAGTTCGCAACGAGATGCCCAATCGGGACGGGGTGAGCCCTGACACGATCTTCTTGGGACGAACGATCCGCGCTCTCGACAGCGCCGTGCACGGCGCGGTCCGCCAACCAGAAGCTGAGACATGGGGCGGGCCACCCGCCGAGGTACGCATGCGTCGGCGGATGCAGGCCCGACAGTCCAACGCAGGAGCTAAGGCCAACAAGAAGCTTCGACTGGCCAGATTGGCTCGGGGCCGTGCCCACAGGATCTACGAGCGCGGCGAGCTGGTCTTCGCATGGAGGGAGCCTGGGACCAAAGACCGAGCGAAGACCACCAAGAGCTCCAAGGGAGGGCACATCAGCCCCGCCGTGGTTCTCTCCCACCTACGAGACCCAGAAGACGGCCGGCTCAGCAGCGCAGTGCTGCTGGTCTACCGCGGCCACGTCCTCAAGGCCACCCCTCGGCAGCTGAGGGCGGCCTCCGAGGCAGAGACTACCTTCCACGAGATGGACGCAGACACTGCGCGCTTCCCGTCGAGCAAGACGGAGGCCGTGATCGATAAGCTGCACACCATCCGCCATCCGCGCGGGTCGGGGCCGCCCACCGAAGGAGATCCCAAGCGTGGAGGTCGAGGAATACGAGCCGCCACCAGGCACGCGGAGCCGCCTCCAGGGCCCGAGGATGGCCTCGAGGCGGTCCCCAGCAGGTCGCCCATGGTGCCCGCAGAAACCGCACCAACTCCTGCCGACCTACTTGCTCAACCGGCACCCCGCGTCAGTAGTCCCCTGGAGGAGGAGTCCTTGGGACTCCCCCGGGCTCCATCGTCACCGACACCGCCCGTGCCCACGGCTACGAGGAGCGGACGCGACCCCCAAGACGACTTTCCCGCGTGCGTCCGCCAGAACGCGAAGGGGGCGAAGAGGACCACTGACGATGTCGGGATCGAACTGCGCGGGTGCATGTGCTGGGACAGCGAGCCCTCCGACCTGGACAACCTGGTCGCCAGCATGACAACCAACGCTTCCGTTTATACGGTGTCCCTCGACCTCACCGTGGACCTGAAGACCAAGAGCAGCAAGCACTTTCTGAAGGATCCTGCCGCTTGGGCTGCCGCGGTACTCCGCAAGAACCGCGAGGTGAAGCAGCGCAACGTGGATGGACTCTGGCCTCCGTGAGCGCTTCCGCAAAGTAGCAGCTCATGAGGTCTCTAGCTGGTTAGCCAACGAGGTCACTGAGCGAGCACTGCGCGAGACGGGGAAGAAGCCAATAAGGATGCGCTGGTACCTGACCGTCAAGAGCGGCGGCACCGCCAAGGCAAGGATCGTCCTCTTGGATTTCCAAGATCATCGTCTCGGGACGGTGGCTACGGCAAACCCTACCTATACGACCACCCTGCGGGTGATAAGGACGTTGGAGGGGGGAGGGGCCCAACAATGGGCAACAGTGGTTATTGTTGTTCTGACGACGCACCGCCATCGTAACGTTTTTTTCATTGCTCTTTCGAGCTCGCGCCGACATCCCAAGGCACCGCTAGCCGAAGCAGGGCAAACGGCTGGAAAGTCGGCGAAAGTGCGCCTCATCTGGTCAAGGAATACGGAAGCGCTGGCAAAGCCTGGCGCGGCCCGTACCCCCTGCACTCAGTTCTTCCTCGGCAAGGTAGCTTGGCTCTCCTCCGCGTTGTGCCGAGTGCCGGGCAGCGTCGATGTCACGATCGATCTCACTATCGATCTCATTCGATCGATACCACAATCAATATGACTGCCGATCTCACAATCGATCTCACTATCGATTCCACAATCGACCTCACTTTCGGTCTCACCATCGGCACCACTATCGACATCATAATCAATCCCACAATCGATCTCACATTCGGTCCCACTATCGATATCACTATTGATCTCATTCGATCCAAATCACAATCGATAGGACTAGGACGATCGATCTCACAATCGATCTCACTATCGATCTCTCATTCGGTCGCACTATCGATCTCCCTATCGATCTCACAATCGATCTCACAACCGACGTCATCATCATCATCATCCACATCAACAGCAACATTACCATCATCATCATCATCATCATCATCATCATCATCATCATCATCATCATGGTCATCATGATCACCACCATCACCACCAGCAATACCATCATCAACATCATCAACATCACCACCCTCATCACCCTCATCATCACCATCATCACCATCAGCACCATCATCATCATTATCATAATCATCGTCATCATCATCACCGTCATCAACATCATCACCATCATCATCATCGTCATCACCATCATCATCACAATCATCACCATCATCACCGTCATCATCGGGACACCGACGGGACACCGGCGGGACACCGGATCTCACTATCGATCTCATTCGAACGATCTAACAACCGATCTGACGATCGATCTGACGATCGATCTCACATTCGATCTCACAATCGATCTCTGATTCGGTCTCACTATCGATCCCACTATCGATCTCACCATCGATCTCACAATCGACGTCGTCATCATCATCATCATCATCATCGTCATCATCATCATTAACAACATCATCATCATCATCATCATCATCATCATCATCAACATCAACAGCAACATCAACATCGGTATCATCATCATCATCATCAGCATCATCGACGTCATCGTCATCATCACCACCATCATCATCGCCATCATCACCATCATCACCATCATCACCATCATCACCATCATCATCATCACCATCACCATCATCACCATCATCACCATCATCACCACCATCACCATCATCACCATCAGCATCATCGTCATCATCGTCATCATTATTATCATCACCATCATCACCGTCATCACCATCATTATCATCATCCCCATCATCACCATCATCATCGTCGTCATCATCATCATTGCCGTCATCATCGGGACACCGACGGAACACCGGCGGGACACCGGCGGGACACGGAGCCCCACCGGACGCCGGAAGGGAGTCATTTGGCCCGGCCGCGCCTCAGCCACAGGAGACTTTCCTCTCGCCCGCCCACGCAGCTTCGCCTCGCCCGCACGCAGGGCACGCACGAACACGAAACCGAAATCGATTTCCCGGTAGGGGGGCTCTCCGTTCCACTGCGATCTCACCCCCCAACCTCCGACTATCCCCGTCCGGGGAAGGAACCCGGCCCTCCAGATGTGTGCCAACCTCAAGCTCAGGCTTTCCAAGGGTGACGTGAAGGCAGCCTTCCTGCAGTCTCAGGCGTTCCCCACAGGGATCCTGGTAGAGCCTGTGAAGGAGCTTCGGATGGCCATGCAGTTGAAGGAGGACGAGGTGGTGACGCTGCTGAACAAAGCCTACGGACTCTGCGACGCCCCAAAAGAGTGGTTCGGTGAGATCTCGGCCAAGATGTCTACGGCAAGCTGGGTGCCCTTGGAATTGGAGCCGTGCCAATGGGCCCTGTACGATGGCCAGAAGATAGTCGGGATCGCCCTCGCACACGTGGACGACATGGTCATAGGCATCGACCAGAACAGCGACCTCGCGAACCAGGCTCAAGGAGCTCGAAAGCTACTGGAACTGGGGACAGTGGGAGGCCGACAAGTTCATCCAGACGGGGATCGAAATTACTCAGCTCGCCGACGGCACGAGCCAACAGTCATTCCAGAATGCCGCTAAGAAAGTCACCATGCTCGAGGGCTGGCAGAAGCCTCCCAATGGAAACCTGGAGCATGAGCTGCCACCTGCAGGAAGGGCTGCATGCTGAGCAGTCATTGGTGGACTGCAGTAACTAGCCAGTCAAGGGATGGGGCGCATCGCAACCGACACGAACATCACGGCGTCCTACCTGAACGATACGACCTACGCCGCGGTGCAGAAGATCAATGAGATCGTCCGAACAGCCCACGAGGTGGCAGAGGTCCTGATCACCTACCGACCCCTGCTAGATCCAGTGTTCGTCACATTTCACGACGCTGCCTGGGCTGTTCGACGGGACGACAAATCCCAATGGGGCTTCATCCTGGCCATGGTCGAACGACGTATTCTTGATGGCGAACGCTCTCCAGCCTCCCCATTACTGATAGTTTCCAAGAAGTGCCAAAGAACGATCCAGCAAGACGACCATGAGATGGATACACTCAGCGGCGATGTCCGCTGATGGCCTGACGAAGGGCAGTGCTGCAGCGCGTGAAATGATGATCGACTTCCTGTTCCAAAAACACTGGATATTGGTTCATGACGACTCGCTCACGTCAGCCAAGAAATGCATGGCAGCTGGAGGTCACGACATCCTAGACGACGGGGTGCTCAGGGGCTGCCAGCCCGTCTCGTACCGAGAAGACGAGGAGGAGGAGATGCATGCCAGCAACTGGACCCTGGACGATTTCGGACACCACCCGATCGATGAGTTCTAGGAGGCAGGCGATCTCCCCGTGTGAAGCTAGCGGCGTTCCACAGCTTGTGTTTTTTTGATATTATGTGTTCGATCCTGGCCTCTCTCTCTCTCTCGTGCTCGTGCGGGTGCTCGGGTGTGTACCTCAGCCATTCCAAGGCAAACTATGGCCGTGTGAAAGATGCACGCTCGGAATCAGCGAAAGAAACGCTGATTTTGTCCCGCCGTGGTGTCCCGCGCTGTCCCGCTGTGGTGTCCCGATGGAAACTCGTGGTGTCCCGTGGTGTCCCGCATGTCCCAATGGTGTCCCGCGGTGTCCAGCGGAGTCCCACCGCGGTGTCCCTCCGTGGTGTCCCGATGGGGTCCAGATCGAAATTGAAATCGATAGTGAGATCGATAACGACCGAGAAGTCGATCGTGCAATCGAAAGTGAGGTCGATGGTGATGTCGATAGTACGTCGAAGGTGAGTTATCATCACAACCATCGCAATTGTCCTCAATTGTTACTTTCCCCTCCCCCCAACCTTCACATCACCCTTCGCATCCGTATAGGTATATGGGATGGGTCAACTCTCTCCTAAATCATATCTGTCATGACTTTGATATGGGCTTTTGTCTCATCGATCTGTTGAACCGCGACCGCCATCCTGTCCGCGTCTCGCGGAGCTTGGCGAAGGAAGACTCTTGATAAAAGATGCAATATGGTGGCACTCGTGAGCCCCTAGAAAACATCGTCGGCCTCCACATAAAAATCCTCATTCTCGCCGAAAACACGGCGCCCATATTCAGGAGCCGTCAGCGGCTGCACTCCGAGGAGCTTGAAGATCTCGTTGAGGTACAGGCGCCCAGGCACCGCCGATGGGTGGTACCCGTCTGGCTTCCAGAGGCCATCGAGGCTGTCCTTGGCCGTACTCGAAATGAGAGTATCCATGATCTGGTGGTAATCGATCACCCCGACGTTCTCGAAGACCTTGCCCGTGCCTGCCGACCTGCGTTTGACGCAGTCGTGCAACGCATCGAAATCCGCCTGCGTCCACCTCTCGTTGTTCCACAAGGCGACCGTCGGCGCGGTCCGGAAGACGACTCGGCTCTGCTTGAAAATGTCCGTTACATTCTTTAGCAGGTACGGCAGATCGTGATTGCACCAGTGCTGCAATCGCTTGGGCGTGGCTCGATGGCCCAATTGCTGCCACCAAGTGGCCAAATCCCACAGCGAAGACTCGACCACGACCAGGTCTGGCGCTTGCCCGAAAGCGGTGCGAGCAAGTTCGGGTGCTGCCTGGATGACCTTATACGTGGGCTGATATTGCCAGCTCGCCTCCTGCGGGGACTCCCATGCGGTCCCTGGGGGCTTCGTCCCTGCGGGCCTCTTTGCGTTGGTTTTCACTGTGGTGTGGCCAATGCCAGGGTTCCAGAACGGCTCCTCCAAATTTCCGTTGAGGCCCACGCCTGGATGCTGAAGGACCGCCACGCCGGTATTGCGTTTGTCGTCGAAGACGACGTTGTGCTGCAACTTGAAGGACTTGAACGTGAAGGTCTGGTGCGGGTAATTCATGCCCACGGCGTACCTATCGACGGAAGACCCAATGATTAGCACGGACTGGAACTGCCTCTTCTCGCTGTCGATACTTTTCGTCACAAATTCTGGAACTGGTGTCTGACTTAAAGACAATGCAAAGTGGATCCGCGAAACAAGAAACCATGTAAGACCATAATTCAGAAATGCCACCATTTAGCGGTAAAGCACAAGGTACGCGGTTCGACTTGGACTGTGTTGCTAAGGCAACACACGAGTCATAACGTTTGAGCCAAACTGACTACGGATGTCATGGCTTTGATGTTGGATCTTTCGTGGCCCGTGCTGCGCGGCCTCGATGGTACTTCGGATTGCGAGAGCCACTACGTACGCAACTGCCTGGTGTCGTGGTAGTACATGTATATTTCGGGCCCCGCGGAGAAAATAGATCGCACCACGTTTGTCGACTCTGGTCAGTGTGGCGGCATCGGTCACTGTACGTCGCTCTCTCTGGCGTCTTTCTCTTGGATGCTTTGTTTGGCTTATCCATATTCCTGGCGTCGCGCGTTGCCGACGAATGCGTACACCCCAGGAATCCTCTGGGGTGGAGCATCGTTGAGAAGAGCTAGTGCTGGTAATCTATTACATGCTTTGCTGTCCTACCACGTATGCTGATATTCATTTGGGTGTACTGGCCTATCCTTGGATTCCTGGCAGAATGCACCACCGTTGGTCCCGAACCATTTCCGTCAAGCTCACTGGCAGGCGACCAAATCGGTCCGAAAAGTCGGCCTGACGATCGCCGTGCGGATCGCTCCCTATTTCACCCGTTTCTTCCACACAGATCGATGATCCTCCATTGGTCGTGACTCTTCAGACGGTGAGGCGCGCCAACTGCATCGGGGAGACCGAAAGGTACCGATACCGCTACTCCCCGGACCCCTCCCAGGGTGCGTTCTGACCAGAATTTCGAGGCGAATCCAACGGTAACGACGAGGGCCTCCAAGGAGGCTCGAAAAGGGGAATACGGGTGGAGGGCGCAGTATGGGTACCTTTTGCTCCTCTGATGCATTACATGTTCGATGGTTGCGCTGTCTTTCACATCCTCCCCAGGCCGACTGCAATGTCCCTTGCTTGCCGCGCTGCCGACTCCAGCGCTCCACGCCGTCCGCCGCCATCTCGCTCCTGTGCGCTGGGCCGCCTGGAGCTCAGTGCTGAGCCTCCCTTCGCTGGTAAGGGTGTTGCCACAATTGTCTCCCGCCCCCTGGTTTTTCGGGGCGAGAACGTTTCGGAAAGACGGCGCGCAAACTGCTGCAGTGCCGAGTCCGCCCGAACCGGCCTCCTCCCTGCCTCCTCCTCCCATGCGTGCGGGGGAGAAGGAAGAAGGAAAGGGTCAAGCTAGTTGCGCGCGCGTCTTATCTGACGTCTCACCTCCCCTCCCACCTCTTACCATGGTGTAGATCTCTTATATGTTCGCACAGTCGGATGGCGAGCAGGGCAAGGATCCCGAGAAGGTGCGAGATGCATGGTAGTGCACGGCGCAGCCTGGCGTAGAACAGCACGGCAGAGCGCAACATGCCCGAACGGAAACCAAACACGACGCAAAACGACAATGTAACTGAACGGCTCGGAAAGAGCGGGAGCGAAAAATGAAAGCCACGGCTGTAGCGGGAACACAGTTTGGAAGATCCGCAACAAAGAAATGAGGTCAGCGCTGAAGCGGGAGTAAGATTCGGAAGGACTGAGGGCCAGAACATGGAGTCAACGCTGCAGCAGGAACACCATTCGGGAAACACCGAAAATGCTCGGATTGGAACATGATCGACACACGAACCCCGAAAGGAGGCGTGGAAACCTGTCAACGGACCTCAATTGGGCGACGGGCATTGGCGATGCTGAAACTATCGATAGTAATGACACTGCGCCAAGGGCGTGTTGTGCTGCGTTGCGCTGTGCGTGCCGCAAAGTGACGTTCAATGGGGCGCACCAAAGGACACGTGACAAGACGCGCCAATGGACGTGCCAGGGGGGCGGGCCGCGGAACGTCCCACAGGACGCGCCAGGGGACGTGCCAAAGGACGTGCCATGGGGACACTCCGCGGGACGTGCCAAAGGACGCGCCGTGCCCGTGTTACGGGACGTGCCAAGGGACGCGCCGTGCGACGTGCTAAAGGACGCGCCACGGGACGCACCACGGAACGTGCTAGGCGATGCGCCAGGGGACGTGCCAAGGGATGCGTCAAGGACCGTGCGACGGGACGTGGCACGGGACGCGCCAACGACGCGCCAAGGGACGCGCCAAGGGACGCGCCGCGGATCACCTGGAGCCTCCTAGGGTCTGCGCGCCCCCTTTATTAGTCGAGATGTCAAAGGCCACGCGATCCCTCGTAAATTACGCTGCATCCGCGCCCCCTAGGCTACGATCCATCGCATTCCGCTGGGCCCGCACTCCTAATGCCACGATCACTAATACATGATGCTGCGTCCGCCCCTCCCCAAGGCCGCGATCCGTCTTAAATTACGCAGCGTCCGCGCTCCCAATGCCACGTCCCCTCGTAAGATTACGCTGCTGGAGTCGCGCTCCCATTGCCAAGATATCGTTTGACTTACGCTCGGCCCCTGGTAAATTACGACAGTATACCAGAGACATGCCGAATAATCTGAATGTACGTCGGGAACACTCTTAGAAGGCACGCCGAGGGTACGCTGACGGTTCGCGGCTTCTGGATTGCCCGTAATAAGAAACGCTCTTTAAGGTACGCCGAAGGTCCGATGAAGGTGCGCGCGTAAAACTCAGCGAAGGTACCCTGAATGCGTAGACAGGAGCTGGGGTGGGAGAGGACAGGCCCCCCACCCCCGCCCCCCCAAACCGTCGCTCCCCAACACCCCGCGGACCCAGAACGAACACAGAAACGAACGCATTACGGCTGAGATGCGCTGCCAAGGCCACGATCACTCGGAAATCGCGCGGCGCCCGCGCTCCCAAAGCAGCGATCCCTTGGGAATTGCGCTGCCTCCGCGATCCCAGGACCACGATCCCCCGTACATTACCCCGTAACTGACACTGGGCTCACGCTCCCAGGGACACGGCCCCACGTACATTACGCTGCGTCCGCGCCACCAAGGCCGCGATCCCTCGTGAATTGCGCTGCCTCTGCGCTCCCGGGACCACGATCCTCAGTACATTACGCTGGGTTGATGATCCGAGGGCCACGCTCCCTAGCAAATTATAATGGGTTCGCGCTCCCACGGCTACGATCCATAGTCAATTGCTGCGTGGGCGCTCCCAGGGCCGCGGTCCCTCTTGAAGTACGCTGGGTTCTTGCTCCAAGGGCCACGACCCCACGTAATGTTCGCTGTGCCCGCGCCCACAGGACCACGGTCAAGCGCAACTTACATTGAATTCGCGCTCCCAAGGCTGCGATCCAGAGTGAACCACGCTGGGTTCGCGCTCACAGGGCCACGATCCATCGTACATTACGCTGGGTTCGCGCATCCAGGGCCGCGGCCCATCGTAAATTACGCTGTATCCCCGCTCCCAAGGCTACGGTCTCTCGGGAATTGCGCTGCGCCCTCGCTGCCAATACCACGATCCATTGCAACCTGCGCTGCGCCCGCGCTCCCAGGGTCACGAAGCACCGCGTGGAGGTTCCCTAAAAAGGCACCATCTCTCCAAAGCAGAAACCAATACGCCTCTTTACTTGGATATGTGGTCGGAGGGCGCGTTTCGCCACCCCCGCTTTTTCTTGAAAATCAAGCGATTGACCCGAATCAACAAATCATCATAGCTTACGCTGCACCCGCTCGCCTAAGGCCGCGACCCCTCGCGCATTACACTGCCTTCGCGCTCTCAAAGCAAGATCCCCTTCGTACAATGGACGGAATTCTGAAGTTGCGCTCCCAAGGCCGCGATCCCTCGCACATTCAGGCGGATTCGCGCATTCAGGGCGTAAATTACGCCGAGGTCGCGCTCCGAGAGCAACGCTCCTTCGTCAATTAAAATGGGTTCGCGCTCTCAAAGTCACGATCCTTCGCAAATTATGCTGCAGCCGCGCTCCCAGGGCCAGAACCCATTCTGTAGTACAGTGTGCCCGCGCCGTTCGTACATTACACAGCCTCCGCGCCTCCAGAGCAAAAATCCCTTGCCAAGTACGCTGCGTCCGCGCTCCCAAGGCCACGACCCCTTGAAATTGCGAAGCACCCGCGGCCCTAGGACCACGATCCCTCGCAAACCACGTTGCGACCGAACTCCCAGAACCACCTGGACATCCTGCGACGCCCAGGCCTTTCAAGCGCTGCAGAACGCGTGTTTCGCTCGAGACGACCCCAGATATTCGGAACGCAAGGCGCACCATCCTCGAGCGGGCTCGCAACCAGCCGGCATTCCGTCTGCAAAGCAAGCGCGGGGCCCGAAGCATCCTCGAACACCCTGCGCGCAGGACGCGCCGTTGCGCCGTTCCCGAGCGGGCACGCAACAAGTCAACTTTGCAATGTATATGTTTAACGTCTAGGGTCCCCGAACCTTGGACAGCTCGCTGGGATTCTGCGCAAAACGCTCCGCTCACAGATTGGCGATCATCGTCTGGGACAGGCTACGACCTCGGGGGTCTTCGGGGGGGAGGGAAATAGGATTCATTGTGTGTGAGTGTGGAGAAGAAGGACTGCGATGAGGGGGAGGGATGGTGAGGAGGAGGAGAAGGAGGAGCTGGAGATGACGACGGCGAGAGGGGAAGGGGACGACGGTGGACTAATCGGACAGGAGTGGGGTGGGGAAGAAAAGAAGAGGGAGAAGGACGACGGGGTGCTAGGGGGGATCGGAGCAGGTGGAGGATGGACTAAGGAAATAGAGTGTATCGTTGATTGGCTAGCAAAGCGACTGTAGAAAGCCAGGCATCCCAAAGAACGAGCGGTGTCGCTGGATGTTTATCGGCTGCGTCATTCTGTCCACTGCCAACTTCTCAAAGGCTGAACCACCTCCTGATCCTGCCTGCCCTCCTTTTGCTACTTCTCTACGTCCTCCTGCCCCTCCCAATCAATCCTCCTCCCTCTCCTCCTCTCATTCTTCCCTGATGTTCCCCGTCTCTTCCCCTTCAACCTCAAAGGGAGGTTCCGAGAAGGAGAGAGGGAGGGGAGAACTGGAGGTAGAGAGAGAGAGAGGGAAGCAGGGGGAGAGAGCAGAAACAAGTGAGGGACGGGGGGGGAGGGAAGGAAGAGGGAGGAGAGGATGTATCAGGGAGAACGAGGAAGAATTGGAGGTCTCTGGAGTGCTTCGGAAGTCTCTAAGAAGGATCCCCTGATATTCCCAGATGGATGCCAAGATCTATATTGGCCTCTGGTGGCCACTGGGCATCAAAAGGTAGCAAACAACATACAACACATTGATGTTCGAGGGCCCATATATCCGAAATCGTGTTTGTTTGTCCAAGACCTGCTATTCCACTATACTCTTCTATACTCTTTCTCAAGGGCCGCTACTTGTCCGCCCGGGATCGCTCCTTGGTGGCACCCAACCAAACCCGAAGCCCGAAGACGGCCAGGAGTTGCCAAGAAGATAGCTCCATCGTGATACTGTCTCAGCGATAAGGCGCGTCGAGGGGGATCTGGCTTGCCGGGGGGGCTTCGAAAGAAGCCACCTGCCTTCGTATCGGGGTGGACGGGGCCCCCTTTGGCAGAGCACCATCTTGTGAAAACGACCCGAGGCCAGACCTGACGGCCACAGGCCCCGCAAACAAAACACGGCCGCAACGACAACACCATCCCCTTGAGAGCCGAGCCCCTTTGCGAGCAGATATAGAGACAGGAAATGCGCCCATCGCCCTGGCAGGGTGGGGGTTCTAAGTGTCAGGCTCCGATCTCTGCTGTTCCGGGGCGCCAAGAAAGGGCGTCCGAGGAGGGGGGTCGTACGTCGTGGCCTTAGGCATGCTCGCGGACGAGAAGGGGGCCAGGGGACGTGCTGCAAGAAGAGACATGGGAACCATAAGATCTTCGGGCGTTCTCTAATGGGGGGGCGATAGATGGGGGGGTTAAGACAGGTGCACCTTTCGTGCACCTCTCGTACCCCTTCGGGGCCCTAGGGGGCTCGTTTAGCGCCCCGTTCGGGCCTCTTTCGTGCAACCCTCGACGCCCCCCCATTTATCGCCGCCCCATTACCGAACGCCCGAGTTCTTCGGGGATCTCCTGACCCGGGTCAACACAGACCCGGGTCAGCCAGGGCTTGCAGAATCCTGCAAGATCCTGCAAGACCCTGCACACAGACCTGGGTCAATGCGAAGGACCCTGCAAGATCCTGCCGATCCTGCACCCAAACCCAGGTCAATGGGAGCCTGGCCCTGCAGGATCTGCAAGATCTGGCGCTCTGGCTGACCCCCGTTTGCATTGACCCCCGTCTCAAAGCTCCCGAGATCTGGCGCATACCATGGCTCCGGCTGTGATCTCCCCACCCTGGTCCCCCCCCCCCTCGACGCCTGGTGGCCTTCGGGTCCTAACTGGAGCCTCTGGCGGCGGCCATTCGGCACGATGCGGGCCCCCTGGGAACGAGGCGCGACCCCCCCAGTGAACCATCGGAGTCTCCCTCGCCCTTCCCCCGTCAACGACGAAGCGAAGTCCTAACTGCACTCGTGGCCTCCCCAGAAGATGCAAGCTGGAGCTGGAGGGAGCCGTGTGCATGCAAGCGAGAGAGCACACATCCGGCTCTGACCGCGGGCAAGGGTGAGCGGGGCGGGAGGAGCCGCAGCGACTGGGACCGCACGGGGACGATCCCATGCCACGAACACGAGAGAATAAAGTCCTCATTTCGCCAACCTATGTTGCTCTTAGCCATGTGTGAGTGTGTGTGTGGTGGTGGGGGGGCATGCGGGGCCGCACCAATGGTCGCTCGGGCAAAGGTGATACGTTCCCGAAAGAGACGCCAGCCATAGGACTTCTGAGACCGCGGCGCTGCATCTGAGCCTTCGAAACGTGCGAGAGAAAGCGTTATACGCGGCGACCTTGTGGGCAAAGCCGAGCGGACTTGAGAAATCGTCATCCGACGTCCCCAAAAAACCCTTCCCAGGGGTCCCTTCTGGAACCGCATGATGAAAAGGGGCCCAAGCACCCGACGATCTGAGCTTTCAATGCGCGGCCTCAGAGCTCTGGACATATTGTTGATTGTCCTGGACATATTGCTGATTGTCCAGGACATATTGTTGATTGTCCAGGGGCCCGGTGACGGGCCCCAGGGGCCGATATCAAGAAAAAAGCTATGGGATCTACAGCAAGCAGATCGTCGAAAGAATATGGGTACACGCGCAGCCAGACCCGCCTTGGGGGGAACAGAAAGACACCGATACCCCTACTCCCTGGACCTCCACCGGGATGCACTCTGAACAATAATTCGAAGAGAATACAGCCGTGGCGACAAGGGCTCGCCATAACGAGCAGCGGTATCGGTACCTTTTCCTCCTCTGAGCCTGGGCGGTGCGGGCGCCCGACGCATGTGGTCACCCCAGCCCCGACGCCCTTCACGAAGCCCTTGGCGCCCCCGTGCTTGGCGCCGAGGTACGGCTGGGCCACCTGCTGCGGCAGCGCGGGGAGGTCCCCCCGCTAAGACGAAAGGCTCGGGACTACATCGGATCGCTGGGTCGTCAGACTTCGCGCTTCGCGCCGCCTCTCCTGGAGAAGGGGCGGCTAAGTATCCAATCCAGGCCGCGACGCGAGTAGCGCGATGTCTTCGCGCCCCTGGGGGTGACCCAAGACCGGGACAAATCGGGGATCTCCGAGGTCCGACGGTTCTGAGCTCGGGGGTCCCGAAACCGTGGAGACGGACCTCGCGGTGAACTCGGAATCCCAAGAGACCTGACCATGCAATGCGTCACCGCACGTCTTGGGACCTCGGAGGCCCGCGTCGCCCGAGGCGTCGTAGGAGAATAACCCGAGGCCCAAAACGGTGCGGTGACCCCGAATCCCCACTGACTCACAACGCGGTGTGGGCACCACGCCGTTTGGGGGCCCCCGAAGGCTGGGAGCCACGGCTGGTTCAGAGCGCCCCCGAACGTTCTGAGACAGTTCTGGGAGGCTCTGGAAAGAGATATCCTGATCCTGGGGCCTAGCCCTGCCTGACCCTCGGCCGCATCCGCCAGCCTCAAAATAGGGGCACCCGGGCGCCTCTCTGGGCCCTCGGGGACCAGCTGGCGGCCTCCTAAGAGGGGCCCCCAAGCGCCTCTCCTGGCCCTCGGGGACCAGACCGTGAATGGACGTCGTCACCGCCGTCGCCGCCGTCAAAGTCGTTGCCGTCGGCACCACACCAGCAATGCCCCGAGTGGGGTGGAGGCTCCCCCTGGGGTTCATCCCAGGCGTTGGGCACTCCGGCAGCGACGACAAGCCAAAGACGAGGAAGGCGACAGGGGACAGGAACGCAATTGGGCAAGCCGACGAGGACGACGACAGAGAGGACTGCGCATGGAGAAATATTGGACCAGCAAAGGCGAACACATGTGCGAGCTCCTCTCGGGCTTTCTCAAGCTGATTTTCCGATGAACGCGCAGAGGCTCCCTCCGCATCCTGAGTGCGGCCACGCTAGACACGCTGGCGCCGCCGAAGATACACCCTCTCGTGGCCGCCTTCACGAAAACTCCAGAACTACAACGGCCATCACGATCGCCTACCGTACGCCAAAAGGGACCGGAAGAGAAGCCAAAAACTGAACACGGTCGGGTCCCCGACGGTGAGCATCGCCCTCGCGCTGACCGAGACGCTCGGCAATTGGGACATCGGCGCCGCTCTCCAGGATCGCATCCCCGACGAGAACACTGCGCCGAGCGTTTTCAAGGAGAAGCTCGAGGCTGCCGCCCACCATGATCAAAATCGAGACATGCGACGACGAGAAATTGACCAAGGTGCTGATCGTCGCCCCGAAGTGGGACCTGCGCGAGGACGTCCTTGCTGCCGTGAAGGAGGGAGGTGTGATGAATCACCTGGTGATCGCCCCGCCTGGGCGGCTGAGAGATAGCTGAACATGTGGCACTCCCACAGCGGCAGGTGAGGACAAGCTTTGTGCACGGTGAAGAGCACCGTTCCTCCCTCGTCATCCAGACCTCCTCCTCCCGAGCCAGCGGCAAGCTGTCATGATAATATTGTTTTTCCGAAGAAACAGCAAACAATGAAACAACGATTTGCTGTTTTACGAAAGCCCGTCGTCGTGAGTCGTGAGGCACGCCCACCCCCAACTTCCATCCAGCGCTTGAGTAAGCACGGTGCCCACGCGCCCCCACGCTGTGAGGCGATTCATCCTGGCGGCGGGTTCCAAGTGAATTTTGCTGTAAGCCACCAGGGGCCACGAATTGCGTTCAGCATGCAATCGCCATCAATATCACACAATCGTCCCATATGCCGATGAAAATCGTCGTCGCCGCCGCCGCCGCCGTCGTCCGTCGTCGTCGCCGTCAGCATCGTCCTTGTCGTCGTCGTCGAAATCGTCGTCGTTAACGTCGTCAGTGGCGTCAAAATCGTGGACGTCGATCTCGTCGTTCCGGTTGCCCTCCAATGATATGATAAAAAACCCTCGATGGCTCCGATGGCAATGAAAAGGATGGGAACGAATGACATCTGGATGTTTTCACACCGATGCGCTGGTGACTCAAGTGCCCTGTAAAAGGTTCGGGCACAGGTGCGATACGTACGGAGGCTTTCCGTACCCCAGCTCGTGCTTGCAATGCTGTGCTCGCTCTGCTACCCTCTTGCTATGCTACATACAACTATGTGTACAGCGTACACATCACACCCGTCGAAGAACAAAACGATTTTCGGGGAGGGTCGCTCCCGGATTATGAAGTGCGAAGAATCGAAGTTCCACGGATTAGAAACGCAAGAAAAACAGCTGGCCAAGCACAAGGCGCAAAACAAAACTGCGCGGTGCGTGGCTTCACTCACTGAAGCTCGTCTTGGCATTGCCATCCCATGGTGAGTTCATCTTGTTATGCTGCACGCTGGGCTCCTCCATCTCAATGGTGATCTCGCCTGCTCGCTTAAGCCAGGTCGTTGTGTGGCAGAACCGACACGGGTCGCTTTTCAAACAGTGGGCATACGCAATCTGTACTCCCACCGTCTGCTGCCGAATCTTCTGGTGCTTGTAATCGGTGCTAATGGTGGTGTTGACGTTTTCCTTCCCCGTTGTCTTCTCGAAGTTGTCGCTTGGTCCCGTCTGGATCGGAATCGCGGCAAGCCCCTGCTGGTCCACGAACTTCAGTAGCAAGTAGCAAGTCGCTGAAATAACGACTGGCATGCTCACCATCATGAATAAAAACGCGCCCCAGGAACCTCGAGATGACCACGAACACTTCGCCACCTCGCCGTAGTAGTGGTTGCAGTCGGGGTTGCAATCGAAATCCTCTGCGGCAGTAGCCACAGACTTGCAGCAACAGGTTGAGAAGACTGCCAACTGCATGAGCGATGATCGGGATGACCTCGTAGCCGGTGGCGTCTCCAACCTGCTCCTCTCGATGATACCCTGCCTCTCTTGTTTAGTCTTATTTTTGGCCGCGGCGAAGATCGCGTTGAAACTGTAGCCGTCAAGCTCGAAGCCTGTCTGCGAATAGCTGCCGCGCTGCCGGCTTCGTGAGTCCGTCTGCGCGTTGACGCTCTGAGGGAACCCACTTCCACTGCGTCCTCGTAGCTTCCATCCTCTCTCGTAGGGCAAGAACTTCGATGTCGGCGCTCTTGTCCTGGAAGCTGGTGATGTGTTTCTTCTTGGCTGCGTCGCACAGTGCCTTGGCGTCGACCGCTAGTGACGATTCTGCTGCGTAGTTGGTCCTGTTGACGTTGTTGATGTCCGCGCAGTCGTAAAAAGAGGGCCGCCCAGAACCGCTTCGCGAACTCCATTGCGTCCACCACTGCTGCCGCTGCCTGAGATTCTGCACGCAGCGAGGATATCGCCAGCCTTGCGAGCTAGAGATACATCCAATCGACGACGCTGCAATCCGAATCCTCGCCGTTGAGAACTTTAGCATGACGCGCCACAATCACATAGCCTCCTTGACTAGATCCGTCTTGACACACTCCCCAAGCTGCGTCCGACATAGCCACCAAAATTATGCCATTGACCATCCCGATCTCAAGCATTCTGCTTGTATAGCCTGAGCGTCGCGTTCACCTCCGTTGCTGTCGCCGCTGTTGCCGTAGGAAGCTGCCCCTGGCGAGTGCTGACCCATGCTGATGCGCGTGGGCATGCCTGTGAACTTGGCCACTGAGGCGCTCCGAATAATCCTCGGAACTGTCGAATCTCACTAGGCGTAAATGGGCGGTCATTGTCGCCGTTCTTCTGGTCGATCGTGATCGGTTTAAGATCGGAGGCGTAAGTCTGCATCTCGATGTTGACCTCAATGCTCTTGGACTGCTTGTTGTTCCTGTGAGTCGGCTGGTGCAGGTCCGATCCCGGATGCTCCATCTGTCCTCCTCGATCCACCTCCGGAACTCGAGCTTGCTCTTGTGCCTTGAGGATAACGCTGTCGTTGCTTCCGACCCGGCGGTCGCCTCCACCGCGCGTATCACCCACGTGCAAATGGATGAATCCGTCGCTATTGCCGCTCTCTTCGTAACTCACAAACAGACACGGGTCCAGTGGGTGTTGCTTGAGGCCGCTGACTTTGAAAACGACAACTGCTCGTCGCCACCAACGTCGCGGCGCGTCCACTTGTCCGTGCAAAGGCATGATCAGCTTCATCAGCGCGTCCGGCTCGATGCCCATGAGGTCTGCTGCGGCTGATGGTACTTTTTGCGTAGAGCACTCGCTCTTGGGGCCGCCTCGAAGAAGTGCTGTAGCCGCGTCTGCTGTCCAAAAACTCCGCCCATTGTTCGCTGCGAGTAGCATAGACAGCTGACGTCCTAATCTCGATGCTGCAAGTGATGCCGTAGATACCTTCCCGTCGAGTGCGTCTGGGTCGTTAAGGCCATGGAATGCCAGTCGTACCTTGGCCCTCCGAGCGCCGTCGTCGTTTGCTCCACTTCAGCCCCCACTTGACCTTCAAGATGCGATCTGGGTCATCGCCTCTGGGCGGCTCGTGGAACTCCCAGACCTCGTTGCCGAAGGATTCCTCGAGCTCCTACCTCTTGCCTTCCATGGACGCACTCTCCCGTGAGTTGCCATGCTCCTGTTGCTGACCTCGGCGTAGATGTCGTTCAACTTCGCACCCTTGCCGCCGAACTCCCATCCACGCCGGTGGGTCCTCGCCCTCTAGCATGAGAGGCATAGCCGCAAGCTCGTCGTCGGCGCTGTCATCGCACACTGCTTGAGCTGCTGCTGTCGGGTCTGGCATCGGCGGTCCTCGGTAGACTCCGCCTGCAGATCGGGCGAATAAAAGCCTCAGCCGTGCCCAGTCGCCCGCGAATCTCCTTGAGACTCGAGCTCGCCGAAGCAGGCGCAGGCGCCTGCATCGACGATCCCGTGGGCGCCGACATTGCTGGACCCAACGTCGCCGGCGCCGGCGCCGGTGGTAGCGACTGCGCTGGGGTTGGTAGGAGGTGGATGCGGCTGCTCTGTTGGCGTTGTCGGCTCGGCAGGTGACGCAGTAGGCATCGAC